TGAGTAGAAAGAACTAGGGATAACTTTCTATGGGGTACTGGTTAATTCAAAATTAATTTTCTAACTTCTGAAATGAATATTTTTAACAAATAGAAAACATATATAAAGGGAAACATGATCCCTTTAATAAATAATATATATATATATTATTGATTTTTTACAGAGAGGAAGGAAGAGAGATAGAGAGTTAGAAACACTGATCAGCCGACTCCTGCACATTTCCTACTAGGGATGTGCCCACAACCAAGGTACATACCCTTGACCGAAATCGAACCTGGGACCTTTTAGTCCACAGGCTAATTAATGCTCTATCCACTGAGCCTAACTGGTCAGGGCAATTCTTGATAATGAATCTTTACGTTAATGTTTCAGAAAATATAAATAGTATATCTACAAAGAATTAAATAAACCAAATTTGGCACTAGCATAAAAACAAAAATACCAAAATAAGAAGAAGAATAAAAGAATATCAAAATAACCAAACCTATAAAAGATTAATAAGCACATAGAATCATTTAAAAATAATACTTAACTCTTTTCTAAATGCATTTAATATAAAATTTATAACTCATATTTGCTATAGTCACAATCTTATATTTACTATAAAGTTGAAACTTAAATTTTATGTAATATATTTATATTTTTAAAATTTTTGGATAAAATTGTCAAGGTTGATTTTCTTACCAAAAATTCTACGTCACATTAACATTGAAAATCAATCCTCCCTGAAAAAGCTTATATAACAACATAAAAACCATATTTATGATAGTAAAATGTACTTTTTCTATTGGATTATCCATTTATGATGGTCTGAATTAAGTACACATTTGGGAGTTGTCAAAACAACCAAGAGTATAGTCGTAGCCTGCAAATTACCAAATTGTTTAGGCATACTTAAATACTAAATGAGAAAGATGGATGTCTATCACGAAACTTATCTGAGGAAACACTAACTCTAGCATGCTTCTCTTTTTTTCTTGCTACTTCTCATATTTCTTTTCAAACATATTTTCTATAAAAAACAAAATCAACTCATGAAACTTGAGATGTTCTAATTAAGATAGTTTCAAAAACCAAGAAAAAAAATGCTTGTTTTGTGGGCAGTTTTTAGATAACATAGCCAAACCAAATACAAAAAAAAAAAAAGGAAAATATACTAAATATAAAAGGTACAACCAAGAGTAACATTTATCTATTATTACTGTGAATCTGGTATTTTACAATTAAGCATGTATCCTTAAGGAGGTCATACTGTACTCCCCATCTGTTGCCGTCTTGTAACTTACTATCCATGTTACAAGTAACTAAATACAGCAGGTCCTGGAATAACATAGCCTTATCCCTCAACATCATTTTGTTATATGTTGATGAGATGCCATAGGAACTCAACTCTTCTTTATAGCAACTAGCCCATGGTAAATTGGTTTCATTATACATCGTTTCGCTTGAAGTCACAAAACCTATCAATGACATTAAGTGAGGACTTACTGTACCAGTCTCAGATCAACCAACAGAAAGCCAGTTTGAAATTCAGATGAAGCAACACCAGTGTGCCTCAAATTTCAAAAGCAGGAGCCATTCAGAACATGTGGGAGTATATGAGGCTGACAAGGTAATTTAAAAATAATCCCTATAATGGTGCATTGATGGAATTAACTTTCCACTAAGATTCCTTGCATTCAAATTAGTACTCTTTAACACACTTGATTTTTCTGAACAGCATTTGAAAAATATGCAAAGATACCTTAATCCATTTTATTTTATATCTTTCCCCAAAAATTAAGAGCAATTTTAGTTCTTTTAAATGTATCCCTTTTTAGTTAAATTACAAGCTAAGGCAAGACAATTTAGAGTGACTTAAACTTCCATTTTTGCTTTGACAGGCAAATTGTTGAAAATAATTAAATAAAAGAATATTCCAATCACCCCAGCAGTAAAACATTTCTATGCCACCTCCGGCTCTAACTTTTGATGCTTGCGTTGACAGAAATGTCAATTACAGAACTAATAATAAAGTGTATTGAAAATGTATGAAATGCCTGATCTATAAAAGAATAGGAACTATTACTTCCTACTCTGTGATTTTTGTAGTTTTAATATAGGTGATGGCTAATACATATTCAAAAGACAAGGTGATATCTCAAGTGTTGAAAATTTGCTAAGAAAAACTGAAAAAATTTTAGAGAAATCTGGTGACTTGCTTTTATTCAGACCATACAGAAGAAGCAGAAATTGAGAACTTTATATATGTTTTTCATAATTTTAAATTCAGAAGTGTTACCCGTGTTTTTTCTGTCTTCTTCACTACTAAATTATTTTGAGACATTATAAAAGGAAAAATATTCATTATTATAATATTTGTTATAACATATATTGTATTTTTAATTTATTTACTAGAGGCCCAGTACACACAATTTGTGCACTTGGGAAGGGGGGAGGGAAGTCCCTCAGTCTGGCCTGCACTCTCTCACAGCCTGGGAGCGCTCGGAGAATGTCTGACCGGCAGGGAGGGGGGAGAGGCTCCAGCCACCACCAATGTGCTCACCAACTGTAAGCCTGGCTAATGAACGCACTGACCACCAGGAGGCAGCTCCTCTGCCCCTGGTGGTCAGTGTGCATCATAGCCATTTGGTCAATTTGCATATTAGCCTTTTATTATTTGTTATAATTAATAGGATTATTTGTTGACTCATTATTATTCATACTATTTACTGAGCAATCAAGATCTCCTTGAGAAGGTAACATCTGAGAAAAGATTAGAAAGAAGAGGGCAGAGAAATTGGCAATCTAGGAAAACCAAGAGTTCCAGCCAAGGGAACAGTAAGGGCAACAGCCCAGAAACCTACTATGTTTGTGGGCAAAATGGCAAAAGGACAAGTGTGGGATTTGTGAGGCAGAGAAAACAGGAAATGAGGTCAGAAAGGAACAAATCAGAGAGCAAGACTGCATATGGCCTTGTAAACCATGATAAAAGAAGTCTGGCTGAAAGAAATGAGAGGCCAACGGAGGGTTTTAAGCAGAACAATAATGTGATCTGACAAATTTCAAAAGGATGAAATTTGACTGGTATGTGGAACACAGGCACAGGATTGCAGGCAGGAGACCAGTTAGGAGGCACTGCAATAACCCAACACAAGAAATGACAGGCCCAGTGAGAGGCCGGATTCTGGGCTCCGAGAAATTGCCACTGGCTGACACAGGAAGACTAATAGGCTTCAGCCATCTTCTCCACCTAGAACATGGGTTCTCTCTATAGAATAAAAAAGAAGGAAGCCAAACTACTCAGAAGACAGAATTCTGGAAACTCGTATACACTTACTGTAAGACCCAGCCAGTCCACTCCTACATTTTTACCCAAAGCAAATGAAAGCATATATTCACCAAAGACTTGAACTCAAATATTTATAGCAGCTTTATTCCTAATAGCCAATAGCTAGGAACAACCCAATGGTCATTAACTGGTGACGAGATAGTTAAACAAACCATGGTATATCTTTACAATAGGTTACTATTCAGTAGCAAAAAGGAACCAAATACTGACACAACATAGATAAATCTCAAAAGTACTATGCTATGTAAAGATATCATACACAAAAGACTATACTCCATGATTTCTTCTACATGAAATTGTAGGAATGGTAAATGTAGTGGCAGAAAACAGATCACAGTTGTGAGGGATCACAGGTGAGCGGAAAGGATGGACTCTAAATGGTATAAGGGAAACTTTTGTGTGATAGAAAAGTTTTATATTATGACTGCATGGGAAGGGGGGGGGGGGAGTTCCTTGGGAAGGGAGGTCCCTTAGCCCAGCCTGCACCATCTCCAATCCAGTACCCCTTGGGGGATGTCCAACTACTCTCCCGTGCCTGCCTGATCACCCCTAACCGCCTCTGCCTGCTTGCCTGACAGCTCCTAACCGCCTTGCCTGCCTGCATGATTGCCCCTAACCACTTCTGCCTGCCAGCCTGATTGCCCTTAACTACTCTCCACTGCCAGCCTAATCGCTCCTAAAGGCTCTACCTGCCTGTCTGATTGTCCCTAACTGCCTCTGCCTTGGCCCCCACAACCATGGCTTTGTCTGAAAGGACATCCAGAAGACATCTGGTCTATCCAGTCTAATTAGCATATTACCTTTTATTAGTATAGATTCTGCTGGTGGTTATAAACCACTTGTAAAAATTAAATGAACTATATACACTATAAAGAGTTACATTCCATAGTACATAAATTATATCTTCATAAAGTTTTTTAATGAAACACTTAGAATAATGTCTAGCATATATAAGCATTCAATAAATATTAGCTAAAAAATAACCATTATTTTTATGACAATCCAAGAAAGAAATGGTTTCATAGATAAAAAGAGTGAGGATTTTAAGATGCTTTTTTCAAAATGAGATAAATTCAGAAATTTATTTTTTATAAATCCTACCCTCTTTGCAGATAATATAAGGGCGTAAAGTAAAGATCTGTCATTAAGCTCTAGTTTCTATAAAAAGATTACTTAGCACAGAGTCAGATAGGGCTGACTCTCATGCTAGAGGTTCAGCAGCATCCAGGTATCACACTATTTCAAAAAAGCAAGTGGTAAGTGTTATATAAAGCAACAACAAAAAAGTCAGAAGTGAATAATGCCTCATGAGAAGTAGGACATAACATTTCACTGAAATTCTAATAGCACTTAAGAGAATTTGAAAGTTCTCATTAAACACTTCAAAACTACTTCAAATAAAATAGGAAGCAAAACAGCAAAGCGGGGCTGTCAAATTTAAGCAGTTGCATAAGTGGCAATGGGGACTATACAACCAAGAAACCCAATGAACCAAATTCTCTTGGCATCTACCAGAATCTAGCCTGAGAAGGGCAGAGACTAAGACACATACATACACACACACACACACACACACACACACACACACACACACACACACCACATCTTTGAGGATTATAAATAAAGCAGCTATATAAAGAAAAGGAACTGAGTAAGTGTCCCTTCTTACCCTCTTCTGCTTCATCCTCCTGGGGTGACATTGGGCCCCCTCCACTAATAGGAGTGACAGGTTCCTCCTTCTCAGACTCTCTCTGTAGACTCACCACCTCATATATTGCATCTCCAGCACTGGTGTGATCTTTTCCCTCAGTCTGAGAAAAAGATAAATATGTGTTTCAATATGAGAAATGTGAAGGAAACACTATGCTTCAATGGTCCATTAAAAAGTGCTGAAATGAGCCAAAACCGGTTTAGCTCAGTGGATAGAGCATCGGCCTGTGGACTGAAGGGTCCCAGGTTCGATTCCGGTCAAGGGCATGTACCTTGGCTGTGGGCACATTCCCAGTAGGGGGTGTGCAAGAGGCAGCTGATCGATGTTTCTCTCTCATCGACGTTTCTAGCTCTCTATCCCTCTTCCTTCCTCTCTGTAAAAAAATCAATAAACTATATATATATTTTTTTTTTAATTTTTTTTTTTTTTTTTTTTTTTTTAAGTGCTGAAATGAGCCCTAGGCGGTTTGGCTCAGTGAATAATCGGCCTCCCGACTGAAGGGTCCCATTCGATTCTGGCCAAGGACACATGCCTCGGTTGCGGGCTCAATACCCAGTAGAGGGCGTGCAGGAGGCAGCCAATCAATGATTCTCATCATAATTGATGTTTCTATCTCTCTCTCCTTCTCCCTTCCTCTCTGAAATCAATAAAAAATATTTTTTTAGAAGTGCTGTAATAAAAAGCAGCATGTCATGCTTAAAAAAAATTTTTTTTTGAAGTACTTTGTTCTTCACATGGTATTCTATTGTATGGTTCGTATAGCATTGTGTTAACCAATACAATGAAATCTGCTGACCATTTTGGAAGAACTCAATCTTTTTTATCATAAAAACCTGAGACACCACAGATTCTAGGGCAGGGCAGATAAGCAAATGTTGATAGATGCTTAGGACTCACTATCTCACATTGAGGAAAAGAGATATTACAACATCCCTTAACTAATTCATGGAAGTAAATAGTTTTTACCTCATAAATGGATTACATTTTAAATGGTTTGCTTTGGTTTTTTTTAAGAAGGAAAAACTAATGCAACTGCCAATTAATTAGCCAAGCATGGCCTACAAAACCCAAGATAAACTGCCTCTTACCTTGTCTCACACTTAAATGGGTCACTACGTTCCAGCCACTTAGGCCTCAGTCAGCTCTGGGAATCTTTAAATTCTCTCCCAGCTGAAGGTGTAGGAACATCCTTTTTTCTCTGCCAATAGAGCTTTTCCTCCTATCTTTGCTAACCTCCATCGAACTTAGATCCTTTCACTTCTACAAAGAATTTAACCTGAGTTACCTATGTTTTGATTCTCATATCCTGTTCCTCCTTCATTTCACTCACCACAGATAATCACACATTTACCATATTCACTTGTTTAATGGCTATCCTGTATACTGGACAATATGTACCTTAAAGACAGTGACTATGTTGATTTTCAATCAGAAATAATACAGTGCCTGACACATAGGTACTTAATAAATATCAGTAGAATGAATGACTGGCAATGGTTACCTTCTTCCTTCACTATAAAACAAAAATTATGTATATTACCTACTAACACTGTCTAATTTAGGAATGTCTTGGAAACCCTACTTTTGTTCATTTAATATTAAAATAACTTTAAAATCTTACTAATAAGTCAAACAATATACAGGGTGGGGCAAACATAGGTTTACAGTTGTTCATATGGAAAATAAAATAATAATTAATAAATAATAATACAAGAATAAACTGTGTTTTGCATACTTACCACTATAAACCTACGTTTGCCCCATCCTATATTCATAAAGTAGAAATAATTATGAAAAGTAATCAGGTATTACTTGATTATTTATTCATTATAACTTTCTGTGCCCTGTCTTTTTGGTTTTAATTATTATATATAAAATAAAGAAAAGTTGTTTTAAATATAGAATCAATATTTCTATTAAGTATATTGATACTTTACAAGTGCACATTACAAGTTTCTAGGGGGGAAAATACATAATTATTACACTAGCTGTTTTGTTTTTTTAACTTACATTACCTAGATGTGAATTTTTTCAAATACTCTATTGGTTGACTCTACACATCATTTAATTACAGAAATTTTATGGCTTTTTATTGCTACTTAAGAAACTATCTTGACATTTAAAAACAATGATAGATGGGAGGGAGGGAGGGAGGAGGGTAAAAAAAATCAATAAAATATGAAAAAAATATTAAAATAAAAAAATAAAAAAATAAAAACAATGATAGAAAAAAAAATGTTATTTCATGAGGAGAACAAAAAGGTCCTACCTGTTTCAACCTCATGAAGAAAGTCTCCGTGAAAGTCTTTCTGCTGAAATACCAGAACCGCTCGTTTGCAGGGTATACGCGCACTACTGTCTCCAGGAGAAAGCGGACAGGCTCCACCACCTCCGTGACCACCAGATCCACTGCCACCGTCATGTGCACTCGTTTATCTGCAGCAGAAATTTTCTGTGTTTTATGCTGGCTTTATTATTCCTTGGTTATTTAAGAAAACAGTTTCCTCACTTATATCACATTACCTTCTAAATTTAATTTTAAAGGTTTTCATGTCAGTTTGATTAAATCAGTAACAAAGTATTCCAAATATATTTCTCAACACACAGAATCCTATTTTAATCAGCTGTCCAAATCTTCTCTGACAACTTTAATATTTTTTCCCAAAATCAGGTCTTACTATAAAAATAAAATCTTTAGGATATCTTTTATCTTAAAACTATCTTTCAGCCCTGATCGGTTTGGCTCAGTGGATAGAGCCAGTTATCCTCAGTATAACAGTGTTCAGTTTCAATTAATTGTATATGTGCAGTAATCATGTAAAACCATATAAGATTTAGCACGTTTTAATGCATTATATACATTAACTTAGGCTATTATTTTCCCTGCAATAGACCATTCTCCTTATGCTAAAGAAATAGTGTTAGATATAGAAATGCAAAATGAATAGTAAGAAAACTATATCAGATATGTTTATTGTTCATAACACAAGTCTGGGCTAAATTTTATAGTAAAATCTATTAATGAAAATATACATTTTATATGAGCACTAGATTTAAAAAAAAAAAACTGGTAAAACAACACTGTCCATAATGTAAACTTTTAAGCAAATAATAAGGAATCTTTTAAGAAAATTCACCTTTTGGGGTTTCTTCATTAAGTGCCAGAAATATGGGTGCATTAGGGTTCCATATGCCAGTGATAACATAAGCCCTCCCATCATAGCTTTTCCCCATGGATTCCTGTGAAAGTCCAAACAGAAATATATACATCAAGAAAATCACCATTTCAATTAATGAATGTGTCTTACTTTAAACAATCCAATTTACTAAAATTTGGATTTACAAGCAAAAGGAGGGTTTATTTTCTCTATAAATTTTTTCACCCTACAAAAACATTTATTTGAATATTAAATTCTACAGCTTTCTTCAAACAGAGTTTCTTTTAAAGACACATATCTTTTGTCTCAGCTGACATGGCTCAGTGGTTGGGTATTGATCTATGAATCAGGAGGTGAAGGTTCAATTCCTGATTAGGGCACATACCCCAGTTACAGGCTGAACCCCCAGTGTGGGCATGCAGAAGACAACCAATCAATGATTCTCTCTCATTTTGATGCTTCTATCTCTTTCTCCCTCTCCCTTCCTCTCCAAATCAATTTGAAAAAATTAAAATACAAAATAAAGACACAAATCTCTTCAAATAAGAGTTCATGCTGGATCACAAAAACATAATATTGCTATGAAGTTATATTTAACTTGATCTTAGGCTTCTATCAAAATCTCATATACTCACACAAAGATGTAAGTAGTTGCTATGAAAACTATAGAATAGATCTCACTGAAAATAGTTAAAGTGACTTTATAGCTAATCACAAGACAGTATTTTCCTCCAATGCTCTAATTTTTAATATATTCTTAAAATATTAATTTACTGCCGAAACCGGTTTAGCTCAATGGATAGAGCGTCGGCTTGGGGACTGAAAGGTCCGGGGTTCGATTCCGGTCAAGGGCATGTACCTTGGTTGCGGGCATATACCCAGTAGGGGGTGTGCAAGAGGCAGCTGATCGATGACTCTCTCTCATCGATGTTTCTAACTCTCTATCTCTCTCCCTTCCTCTCTGTAAAAAAATCATTTAAATATATTAAAAAAAAAAAAAAAAAAAAAGAATGAGCATCTAACCCCACCCCAAAAAAATACAATCCACCAGTGGACAAGAGTCTAAAAAGAATAGCTAGACTAATAAAATTCTTTCTTTTAATTAACAAATACAAAGGAAAGTGGACAGTTAAAAGTAGAACTATAAGGTTTGGTAAGAAGTCAGGTGATGATAGGTCACATTTACACTAATAAAAAAGAAACATGCAAATTAACCAATACTCTGCTATGCCAAGCCACGCCCACCAGCAAGTATGCAAATTAACCCAATTTTTTCTATCAATGCTTCTATCTCTTTCTGTGGCAGTGGCCACAGAGCTGGAGCAAGCAGGAGACTTGGAATGCCCCGGCAATGGAGAAAGCCAAGATTCCCACCGGCCCTGGCTGGCCCTGGCCTCCACTCAAGGCTGCAAAGTTTCAATTAGAGAAAATAAGTAAATCCTAGATACTTGCTTCCAGCCTACCCTGGCCTCTGCTCAAGGAGGCACTGAAAAAAAAAGGAGGGGCTGGAACCTTGGGTCACCAAGAGGTGATCAGGCCAGGATGGGATGGCAGGGGCCGTTGGTGGTAAGCAGACCAGCAGGGGGGCCTGTTGGAGGTGATCAGGACAGCTGGGGCGGGGGGGAGGGGGCAGTTTGGAGTGAGGAGGCCAGCAAGGGGGGGAAGGGCTATTGGGGGTGATCAGGCTGGCGCGGGGGAGGGAGGGTTTGGGGGCGAACAGGCCAGTGGCAGGGGGCAGTTGAGGGCGAGCAGGCCGGCAGGCAGAGAGTGTTTAGAGGCAATCAGGCTGGAGCCAGCAGTCCCAGATTGTGAGATGAATGTCCAACTGCTGGTTTAGGCCTGATCCCTGTAAACGGGTAGTAAGACATCCTTCGAGGGGTCCCAGATTGGAGGGTGCAGGCCAGGGTGAGGAACATCCCCCCACCCCCATGCACGAATTTCGTGCACTGGGCCATTAGTATAAAATAATATTAGATGATGGAAGGAGACTTGCCTTGGGGTGGTGAACACAATACAATATATAGGTGATGCATTATAGAAATGTACCCCTGAAACCTATGTAATTTTATTAATCAATGTCACCCCAATAAATTCAATAAAATTGTAAAAATAAAATGAAGCTAGATATGTGATGATAACAGAAACTATATGGAAGGTTAAATAGATAAAGAACAGCAGAGCACGAGGAAACTGCTAAATGCTAGAAGAAATGGAGAACACTTTTTAAATACTTTAAAATAGTCACATAGTCAAAAACAAAGGCAAATATTGGGAAGCAGGAAGGGAGGGAGGAGGGGAGAGAAAGGTAGAGGAGGAATAGGGAGGAAGACAAGGAGAGAAAAGGGGAGGAAAGAAAGAGTCAAAACTTTCAAAGTTTGTCAGAGTACTATGTAAGAAGGTGAAATTTGTTTTCAAAAGTGTTCATATATTTGGATAAGTCATAGAAGACAGAGAAATATCAAAGTCTTGTTCAAGGGGGAAGAAGTAACACAGATCAGACCAAGTTACAAGGAATACAATATCAGGTCATCACAAAGAAATAATTTTGGGAGAGATCCAAGATGGCTGCTCGGGTAGACATCTAGCCACGGCAGCACACAACAATTTCAATGTAATACAACTAAAATGTAGAGTGGACATTGCCCAGAGCTACAGGTAGTCGACTGACTGAAAATTCTACAAGAAGGAAAGAGAAAACCAGAAGGAAAATCAGAGGAGCTGAAAAAAAAAAGCCTAAGGTACGGAGACATGCTGCACGCCCGCCCGCACGTGCGCAAGGAGAGGTCGCAGCCGGAGAGGAGGAGAGGGCGGGGTGCTGCCTTTCCTTCCCTAGCAGGAAGGAAATAAAACCCCCAGCCTGGGCTGAACCCCCGAACTGGCAGCGCTGAGCCCCCTGAACCAGCAGCGCTGAGCCCCAGTTATGGGCCAGACCCTGGGGACCCAGGCTCCGGCAGGAGGAGATGGGGCTGTGAGGCGGAAAAGCAGCGAAAAGCAGGGCCCCCGGAGTCTCGCGCAATGCGTGCGCAGAGGACTGAATGTTGACTCTGATGCTGGGTTACCCTAGCCGGAAGAAACAAGGCCTCCGGCGGCGCTGGGCCTCAGTTCGGACTGCTCCGAACCCCAGTTCTGGGACCCAGGCTCAGGCAGAGGGAGACGGGGCTGTGAGGTGGAGTCCTGGGAGAGCGGCGAAAAGCAGGGCCCCCGGAGTCGCGCGCAAATTGCGCGCAGAGAACTGAATGTTGACTCTGATGCTGGACTCCCCTGATGGGAAAGAGAAAAAAAGCTCCGGGCTGGGGGAACGGCGGGGAGCAGGAGCCCCTGCAGGACGCCGACCAACCTGGAACCAGCAAGGAGCCAAGCGACGGGGCCCGTGGGGGTGGGGTGCCCCTAAGCCTTCCATCGCTGAGCGCGGGCAATGGAGCCAAGGCCGGGGGCTGCTTCCTGGGCAGCACTGTCCCGGGCAACAGGCGCAGGAGCCCGCGGAGAACAAAGTGGGGGCCACAGGCCAACCTGCTGAGCTCCCAGGACAAGGAGGAAGAAACCAAAGAAGTTCTCAATGTGAAGAAATCAAGTGAGAGCAAAAGATAGTAAAATTACTTAAGAAAGAATACAAAGAAGTTCTTGAAAAATCAAAGACTAAGTCAGAACTCAACTCAACAGCCAACATTGCAACATAAATGCTTTTTTTTAAAAAAAAAAAAAAAAGAAAGAAAGAAAGAAAGAAAAAGAAAAAAGAAGGACAGAATGTTGGAACAGCGGCGGCCAGGCCTAGAGTGGCCAGGCACAAGGCAGTGGCAGCCAGGCCCGGAGCAGCAATGGCCAGGCTCCAGAGCAGCAGCAGCCAGAACCAGAGCATCAACAGCCAGCACTGGAACAGCCAGATCTGGGGCAGTGGCAGCCAGGCCTGAGGCGGAGGCGGCCAAGCCCAGGGTGGCCAGTCCAGGAACAACTAGACCAGGAGTGGCCGGGCCTGGAGAAGCCAGGCCCAGAGCAGCCGGGGTGGGAGCAGCCAGACCCAGAACAGCAGTAGCCAAGCCCAGAGCATCCAGGCTGGGAGAGCCCAGGCTCGGAGCAGCCGGGCCCAGAGCAGGCGGGTCGGGTGCGGCCAGGCCCGGAGCAGCGGCTGCCAGGCTGGGAGCGGCCAGGCCCGGGGGAGCAGCCGGGTCGGGTGCGGCCAGGCCCGGAGCAGCGGCTGCCAGGCTGGGAGCGGCCAGGCCTGGGGGAGCAGCCGAGTCGGGTGCGGCCAGGCCCGGAGCAGCGGCGGCCAGGCTGGGAGCGGCCAGGCCTGGGGGAGCAGCCGAGTCGGGTGCGGCCAGGCCCGGAGCAGCGGCTGCCAGGCTGGGAGCGGCCAGGCCCGGGGGAGCAGCCGGGTCGGGTGCGGCCAGGCCCGGAGCAGCGGCTGCCAGGCTGGGAGCGGCCAGGCCCGGGGGAGCAGGCGGGTCGGGTGCGGCCAGGCCCGGAGCAGCGGCTGCCAGGCTGGGAGCGGCCAGGCCCGGGGGAGCAGGCGGGTCGGGTGCGGCCAGGCCCGGAGCAGCGGCTGCCAGGCTGGGAGCGGCCAGGCCCGGGGGAGCAGGCGGGTCGGGTGCGGCCAGGCCCGGAGCAGCGGCTGCCAGGCTGGGAGCGGCCAGGCCCGGAGCAGCAGCAGCCAAGTCCAGAGCAACTAGGTCGGGAGAGGCAGTGACCAGACCCGGAGCAGCTGGTTGTGGAACAAACTAGAGCAACAGAGGCCAGGCCCTGAGCAGCCAGGCCCGGAACAGCTCGCTCCTCGCCTGCCCCTGCCCCACGGCTGCCTCGCAGACATGGCTGGAAACTTTCGTGGGAACTTGAGGGTCTGCTGAATCAAGTGATGAAGGCTTAGATCTGGATGTGTTGAGTTAGTATAGGGCTGGGGTGTTGATCTGTGAGTGCCTTGGGTGGGGACTGGATGAGGCTGGTGGACCTATTGGGAAATGTCTTTTGTGTAAAGTGTATCATTGGGCATGTAGAGGTATTATTGATATGAGAAAATGCTAAGTAACTGATTTACTATATGAAAAGGGATTTACTATTGGGGAAAGGGAGGGAAGAAGAGACTGAACATAAACTGTGCACCTATGGATGAGGACAATGGGGGATGGGGAGGGGGCGGAGGGTGGGGTGGGAACCTGGTGGAGGGGGGAAGAAATGAGGAACCTTTGTAATAATATGAACAATAAAGATTGATTTAAAAAAAAAAAAAAAAAGAAAGAAATAATTTTGGAATAACCAGCACTGTTTCATCATCTTCATTATAAAGTAACAGGTTCCTTTTTATTAGGCATAGTCTAGTCAAAGCTCAATAACCATGTACTAAGATGGTATGAAGATTAACAGCACTGGGTAGTAAGTCACAACTGTTGATAACTGCAAATGCTGGCCCACCTGACCAACTTTTGATTGTATAAGTCAGCCCACTTCTCTTTCCAGGGGCTTTAATACTGTCAAACTCTTTGATTTCAACATGGACTCTTAAAGGTGGGACTGCCCAACAATGAGATACACAAGGGGCCTCAGGAGTTCAGATCAGACTTGTAATTCTATAATGTGAACATAAGTTCATAGAAAAATCTCTGCCAGTGATTCATCTTAATCTCCTAAACTGTGAAAAGACCATAACTAGTTAAGACCTAGAAGCATCTAAGTGTTTAATGTCCTTGAACTACCTCCTCATAGAATTTTCAGGGCTTGAAATGCTCTGGATTGCCTTAGGTAAAAGCACTTGCATTACTGCTGTGCTGTAAAGAGGGATGGAGGAGAGATGGATCAATAGCTCATTTGTTTGCACATTCACTGTAACTGGCTGTCCCCACCTGACCTATCCATGGGGTTCCTCCTCTAAATTTCTGTGGCTCACTGGACCAACTCAGTGAGAGCACTTAACCCACTGCGATAGTTACAGACTCATAAGGTCTGTTCTGTCATAAGACTGTGAACCCACAGATGGTGAGAGCTGTTTTCTACCTTATCTACAACCCCAGCACTTCACACAATGCTTGCACATAGTTAGAAGTTCAAAAAGGCTGACTGAAACATCCCAGTACAACTAGAAAACCAGCATGATCATCACCATGAAATAAAGAAAACACTGACATAATTGGTGACATTTATCTGACATTTGCAAAACACAGCTGAAAAAAAACACCATGTTTAGTACTTGTTATCACTAAATATAAAAACTGCAGTGAAGTAAGTAAAAAGCTTTATGCTTACTTTAAGATGACCATTTCCTATAACACTTCTAAATTGCAAAGTAAATGTTTTCATTAACTGCAATATTAGAAAGTGTTTCTGTTTAAAAGTTAGGATGGCTTGCTATTTTTACATCAAATACCAACTCTTAAATATATAGTGACCTTTAAGGGCATTCCTGAAATAAATAGCACTCCCACAATACATATACTTTGCTAAGGATAATCAAGGAGGAGATATTCAGAAAGAGAAATGCTTTTAAAAAAAATAAAAGCATCCATCACAGGACTCAAATTAATAACAGTGCATTAAAATAAGTAAAAGGTACCATATTCACTCTGGATATGCCTGTGATAATCATGTCCTTGTTATTTTTGGCTCAAAGAAAGGACATCCTCCTAAGAAGCCAAATAGATGAATAGATGGACATTGTCATAACACTGTTCTATTTGCTTTGAACTTGCATATGATTTTTTGGTGGGAATTGTCCCAAATCTCTCCCTCTTAAGTTATTTTAAGTTTAGGTTTTCAAATTTCGTTATTACTATTGTACAGCTGAAAATTAGAAACAGATCTCTCAATATGACAATTTTAAAGTAGAATATATTTTAAAAATATAAAATAACAATATCTATTCTTGATTAAAGTGTTAAAGGTTAATATTACCATATCCAGTAAATGCATGTCACTGTTCTTCACGTTTCGACCTGGGCTTAATAACATTCCAAAACATCTGAAAATTTGAGGGGAAAAAGGAGATATAATGTATCAAAAATATATAGAAGCCCAGTGAACAAAAAGTATTTCTATAATAACTATATAATCTGAAGTCTGTAATTACAAATAGCTTTCTTATTATAGAGAAACAGCACAGATAAAAATTCATTAAGATACATAATAAAAATCACATAGAAATAACTAAATTGCCAAATCTTTATTTCTGCATGTAAAAGATTACCAGTGATAGGAAACTGTAATAAAAATGGCCACAAAAATTATTCATTGAGACAGAATACAGTTGCAGTTATTCCAAACAGGTAGGTCAAGATCATATAACCCAATTAAATTAAAAAGGAGATTTTTTTTTTAAAGAATAAGAACAAGACACTGTGCTCTCCTTTTGCATCAAGCTATCTTAACAGAAACAATCACCCTGCCCCTCACCAGTCATGTTTACTGAGTAGCTTATTAAAACTATGTCCTCGTTTGGGGGGGGGGGGAAAGCAATATAAAACACATTACTAAAAGTACTATTATTTAGTGAAAATATTATCCAATGTACAATATACTAGTAACCATTTACTTTATTCCATGCTTCCCGATGCAAGAGAAGTGTTAGCAATCCCATCAACACTACCCCTTTATTTGTAGGAGATTTTCATAAGCTGCAAAATTCAGTTGAATCTAACATTTTTTATTTGTTAGGATATAATTGTTAATTCTGCTTTATAGGGAAGAAAGGTAAAGCCCAGAGAAGTTAAACAATTTATTCATATTAACCTGGCTATTCCATAGGTCTTGTAACTTAAGAAGCAATGTGATCTGTCCACTGTGTCCCTAGCCAACAACACATACCCAAATGTACCAGTGTTTTTATTTAGCTTTCCAAAATTTAATATGCTGTGAAGCACTTTATACAAGGGGTAGAGAATGTAAATCAATTAAATATGAGATTTTTCAAATTTTAAAACAGTGGCAGCTAACCAGTCAATATTGAATCTGATCCTTGTTGTTTCCCAAAGGCTTACTTTTCTAGTAGCACTAGCTTTTTCTTCTTTTTTCTTTTTTTTTTTTTCTATGACCCTATCCAAACAAGAATTCAGTAAGCAGTGAAACAACATATACTTCCTGTGAGTAATTCGAGATATTTTGCTTAGAGCTCCCTTTGGCATCCAAAAACAATTAAGTACATAATGAAGATAAAGTTGAAAATCTCTGAAAATAACTTTCCAAGCATATTATTGTATCACTGAACAAAATATAACCTACTAATATGGAAATAATTATACTGTAATAGTCATAATTGCAATATTACTATTATATACTATTTGATCTCTCCTATGAACTCCTATTATAAACATTATCTGTATAAGTTAAATATTAACTAATTATGTAATTCATTGTACTATTTCTCCAACTATTGCCTTAAATTTTTGATAAACAAAAATTAAAGTTAATTTTTTTCAGATATGAAATTTGGTCCCCCAACTAAAAAATCAGGTCAGTAAAGACAGAAGATTTGTCTCACATTCCCTGTATAGCAGTCTCCCCTTATCCACAGGGGATCATTCCATACATGAAGCCACAGATAGTACCGAACCACTTATATACTTTATATGTTTTGCTTTGCATAGAGACCCTTTCACTTTAAGGAAGCACCTTACAGCTCTTGGGCATATCTGAACTGTTAACATCACTACCCTTGTACCTTGGGACCATTATTAAATAAAATAGGGGTGACGTGAATACAAGTACAGAGATATCTCAACAGTAGGTCTGAAAACCAAGGTGGTAACTAAGTGACCAACAGGCAGGGAGATTAAATGGCCTGATTTTGTCACCTTACTCAAAACAGCATGTACTCCTTGCCGATTTGGCTCAGTAGTTAGAGCCTCAGCCTGTGGACCAAAGAGTCCCAAGTTCAATTCCAATCAAGGGCACATATCTTGGTTGTAGGTTCATCCCCAGCTTGGCCCTGTTGGGCCTCCTGCAGGAGGCAACCAATCAATGTGTTTCTCTCACATCAATGTTTCTCTCTGTCTTTCCCTCTCTCTTCCACTCTCTCTAAAAAATCAATAAAAAAAATATCCTCAGGTGAGGATGAAAAAAAGAAAAAAGAAAAAAAAATACCATGTAATTTAAAACTTATATGTTGTTTAATTCTAGAATTTTCCATTTAATATTTTTGGACCTGGTTGACCACGGGTAACTGAAATCACAGAAAGTGAAACTGAGGATAAGAAGAAACTACTACATATTTTGCTTCAGCTTTTATCAATCATGGATTTTTAAAAGAACAATTCCCTATATTATAAGTTTTATAAGTTATAAAACTATTATATACTTATTGTAAAAAGTTAATGGATACCAAAATGTATAGGAAAAAAATTAATTCTCTCTTCTCCCTCTCTCTTAGGCCTGTTAGAAATTAATGGCAAAGTTTAGTTGCATCCTCCATACTTTTCTTTTGCTGTTTTGAAAATTTAAACTCTTATTTTGTTCATCTAGCACTTACAAGAAAATGCTATACTTTTATAATGGTGCAATTTTATATTTCTTTAATTTCTATGTTAAGATCTACTGCAAAAGGAGCCTTGGAAGTTGAGGTATTCCTTAAATGGCAATGCATATTATCTTCTTTTGATGATACTTGATGCACTGTTCTTTTTCTAGGCTATATAAAAAAAAAATCCTGCCACCAACTAGCAGTGTAACCTTAGAGAAAGCACCCAACCCCCTTGGGCCTCTGTTTCCTCTTTCAGAAAGGGGGATAACAGATATTCTCTGAGGGTTCTTCCAGCACTAAATTTGCACAATTTTTTTTCCCTATCAAGCTGTATTAGTCATTTCCAAAATTATACTTCATTAAAGCACATCAGGTTTCCTGTGGGACAAGCAGGGTCTATTAGGAATAAGGTGTCAGTAATTAGATAGATATTATTATCACCACTAACACCCAAGGCAAATAGTTAGTGTTTCACTGGGGAGTTCAAAGCACTCAACCTTCCCTTATTAACTCTATAAATAATGTAGAGAGCAAATTGCTAGCACACCTATTTTCTCAAGGATTTCAGAAGCTAGTAGGGGAGGAAAATAAGTAAACAGACAATTACAACCTGAGATGGTGAGTTCTCTGATAGCTGTAAATGCAGAATGTTAACAAGCAGAGCAGACACACCTAGCATTATTTATAATATAATAAGTAGCTGACTGCCCAAAATTTGAAATCAAAACTTCTGAAAATGAAATATTATCATTTTAATTATGCCAGCTACTATTTATTGAATGCCTTAATTTTAAGTCAGACGTTAGTATATTGTTACATTTATATTTCAAAACAACCTCCTAATAACTTAATAATAAAATTGGTTTTCAATAAGTAGAAGTGATTTGTCCAAACCACGACCTATTAAATTATAACACTGGGATTCAAGCTCTTGTCTATGACTCTAAAACAACCTGGTTTTTCACACATTATACTCTAACTGCCTCCCTAGACTATTGGTAGAACAGATTATACATTCCCTGAGTAACCCTGGGCAAGTCACACACTTCAATGTTTCACCACATTTCTGAAATACCAATACTACCTGTTTACATGTTCACTATGTCAATGTAAAGTTGAAATGAAAAAAACTAATGGTGGACTAGCAATGCAAACTACAGAGCAGTGTCAATTATAAATTACTAGAAGCTTGGTGCATGAATTCATGCACTGATAGGGTTTCTTGGCCTAGCTGGTTATCAAGCCAATGGCAGAGGTGCTGGGGAGGGGAGGGCAACCAGCTGGGGGGAGGGACCACACAAGGTTGGCTGGCTGCAGGAGGTTGGCTGAGGGAGTGCACTGAACACCAGGGGGCAACTCCTGCATTGAATTTCTGCTCCCTGGTGGTCAGTGTGTGTCATAGCAATCGGTTATTTGGTTGTTCAGTAGCTTAGGTTTATATATATATTACAATTACCAAAAAGGAAGTTCAGCCTTCCATAATACCTAGGAGTATTTACTCAAAAAACAGTTTTAAACAGCTTTTAACACCAGGTTAGTACCCATACCAACACCAAAAGCTCAGTGTATCTAGCATTGCTTTAGACTTAACAGTGGGAAAATAAGTGAGAAAGATAAAGATGGTATGTTAATGCACTATAATAGGAAACTAATTATTTTCAACTTTTGCTTTTTGTCCCTCAAATCATTAGAATTCTATATACCTCCATGGAAATTATGGATAAAAAATAAGAAGAAAAAAGGAAGCAGGCTAAACTTTTGTTAAATAAAATAAAATAAAAAGCCCTAACCGGTTTGGCTCAGTGGATAGAGCGTCATTTGGGGATTAAAATCTGAGTATTGATGAAAAACCCAGGAGTCATATAAGGCCTAAGAAAAACAGGCAAAGCAGAAATAAATTATTTCAGTGACGCTGAAGGTTGAGGATAAGAAGAACCTTGGCAAGAGCTCTGGAGTACCCTCCTTCACTACAGTATGAAATAGCTAAGGTGCACAAGTCAAGGGAGGGGCAGTATTATCAGAGGAATGTGGGGCTCTGGGCACCCTTTTACTGATATTGATGGGAGAAGGTAGGAAGGGAAATAATGCATGAGTGTAGAAGAGGTTTTACTTAAAATACATCAAGAAAAGATTATTTCTGGATGTCCAAAGACACTCTCATTTGATGAGTATGCAAAGTTATAAAAATATCCTCAGGTGAAGGTTAACAATAACAAAAAAAGAATTATTAAATGTAATAGATAATTCTGAAGAATACCCTAAGGCTAAGGGAGAGCCCCAAGGAACAGCAAACTCAGAGAGCCCTCTCCCTGAAGCTTTATTCAGACTGAACTAGATAGGGTTTGATTGCAACCTAGTGGAAGACAAGGAAGTTTATTGGACTGCTCAGGCAAAGCTGAGCCACAAGCAAGCAAGAAACAACCTCAAGGTGCAGGCAGCCAAGGTGGGCAGGCAACAATGGAAATGAGGACTCCTGAAACCAGCTTACTGGCAGTGGTGCAAGCCCA